GGTCGCCGGCATGCTGCTTCACGAGTTCGTTCGCCTGTCGATCCGCGCAGCCGTCTTGGTTTTCGCCTTGCTTCAGCTGCTTCTTGCCAGAGCCATGCCGCGTCCTGCCTTCACTGAGCAAGACGTTTTGGCCGCCTTCGCGCAGGCCGAGACTGTGCCCTTCCCGGCCGATGAGCTGCGGAGCCATCTTGGTGCAGCGTTCGACCATTGCGAGCTGGTGGCAGACACTCTTTCTGTGCCAAGCTCCTGGATTTTGCTGGCGGAGGTTTGCGCCGCGGGCTTCTTGGCGCCTACTTCCAAGCTCCTGCCCGCCAAAACTGTCCCCATCTATCCAATGCCGTGGGCTTTTGTTCTTCATCCCGGCTCCACGCAGACCAGTGGTGTCATGGCGACCTACGGTCGCGTCCTGCGACAAATCGAGGTCTGGGAGAACGAGCGCCTACAGCATGAGGCTCGACGTGACCATGCCGCGCGTCTACAAGAGCTCCGTGGTCCTCCCGGCGAAGGAGAAGCGGACGAGTCCCAGCCCAAGCGGCCCCGCTTTAGCCCTCCGGCCGAATTTCGGATGGGCTTCACATCGGGCTCCGTCGACGGCGTCATTGGACGCATGTCGGAGCCGCAAAATGCTTCCCGTGCTGCGGCCTTCCTGCCCGAAGGCACGGTGTTCCTGAACTGGATCTCCGAGCAGTCGGCAGGGTACAAAGGATTGATCACCCAGCTCACCGACCGTCTGATCTGGGACAAGGTGACTGTGAAGGCTGGGCCTTAATTGCCGGGCTCAGTTGCACATATAGTCAGACTTAAGCTTGTGCGCTACCGCCTTTTCCTTGTCCCCCCACTTGTCTCTCCATTTGCTTCCTTCCTGAATATACAGGATCGAACTATACTGTCTCCGTCGACGCTCCCTTCATCGGCGTCTGCGGAGCAGTTCATATGGAGGAGTTGATGTCCGCTCTCGGGGACGCAGATCCATTAGGCTTCCGGGAAAGACTGCTCATCATGTACGAGCGGCCTCGGTTCCTTTCGTCGGTGGACATTCGGGATGCTTGCGCACGTATTCCGGCAGACACCTTGCACGTTTGGCTAGCCAAATCTTTCTGGCCGCTGCACTGTGTGCACACAGAAGGCCACAAGTTGGCTCCGTTCAAGCGCGACCTCAACTATCCTTGGTTGGCCTACAAGCTGTCTGCAGATGCTGAAACAGCGTTCTGGAATCAGTTCGATGCGATGGCCCAAGAACAAGAGCGGCACTATGGCACAGACCAGCAAGCGGCTAAGCGAGCCGGGAAAAACAAGACTCGTCATGCGCGGCTGGCGGTGCCACTGCACAATCTCGTGCAGAAAGCTGCTGGAGTCGAGCCAGCTGCGTGGTCCTTCGATGTATCGGTCAATGCTGCTGCTGCGAGCGTGCTCCTCAGCCGCTACATGGACGAAGTCTTTGCGAAGTTGGACTTGCTTCGCTCGCGACCTGGTGCTGCGCCTGCTGCTGGCGCTGCCTCTGCACGCCCTCCTGTGCCTGGCGGTCGCTCGCCCGTCAGTGTCCAGTCCGCAGCGGTGCAAGCGGTCCTGGCTACAAACTCGTTATCCAGCCTGCTGGCGAACAGCGACATGAATGCGATCCTGATTATTTGCCGTGCCGTCTGCGAGTCCCAGAAGCACCCCTGCTTCCGCATCCCAGACCTCAGCCAGCTCAAGGCAGTCAAAGCTCTCAACAAGCCCGCCGCCGAGCTAGGTCCGCTGGGGCAGCGTGCTTTCAAGGCACTCGACTTGCTGGGGCTCGGGGTCGCCAGCCTTAGCACCAACACGGGTGGCATCAAGACTGTGTACTTCGCCAAGCTGCCGCAGGAGCGGCAACAGCATCCCCTGGTTCAGCAGTCGCCGACGCTGCTGCGTGCCCAAGCCTTTCACTGCCTGCCGCAACAGGCCACCGAAAGCTGCCGCCACGCAACGCAGCCGGTCATTCAGTGGCCCGACCTGTCGGACGCGGCCACTGCTGCTCGTGTTCAAGCAGAGCAAACTTACTTGGCTGCACAGCTGCAGCCGCCGCCAGCTGCTTGAACGAGCTTTCCTCTGTGCGCAGGCTGTCGCAGGCGCTGCTGCTCCGGTTCAAGCCTACAGACTTTTTGCTTGGCCGCGTGCGTATGTAATGCAGACGTGCGCTTGAGCAAGCAGCCAGCTCTTTTACATTAATTGCAGCTCGGGTCCAAGCAAATCGAGCGTAGTTCGCTGCGCACAAGCCGCCAGCCGCTCCAATCCGACCGCTTTCATTGCACACATGTTTCAAAAAAAGCTGCTTGCGTGTCGATGTCTGATATTGGGCTTCATGCTGCCTTTTGTGTGCATGGTCAAGGCAGCGGGTGCAGACTCTGGCTTCAAATTTGCACGGCGCTTCCCACTTGTGCCTCCTCGCCTTTGCCTGTCATGGCCTTCCATTTGACCTCGCCGCTCGAAGTCTGCCCGTGGTGTCCCGGCCAAGTCCCTTTGCGGCAGTGCGGTACCGCGTTGCCCGTGCAGGCAGTTTCCTACGAGCGTGGGCTTGTCTGCCTCTGGCTCCACAGCAAGAGCTGCTCGGGGTGCAATCGCACTTTTCGTGGGTGCTGGGCGATGCCGAAGAAGGAGTCAGATGAGCCTCCGCTTCTGGCTTGCGACCCGGCCTTGCCTGCTTGGTTTCTCTTCCGAGTGCGTCCGCGGCGACATGGCCTCTCGGCGCTCAGCGGCTTCTACCTGCGCTACATGACCTCCGCTTTGCTGCACCTTCGGGGTTCCTTTAGCGGCTTCAGCAGGGTCATGCACGACCTCTTCTCGCATTCTGGACTTGACTCCCAGGAATGCCGGCGCGCTCTGGAGCATGCCTGGATGCTACATGAGACATTGGCATTGACCTACCCGGCCTTGCAGGGCCGTCCATGTGACTTTCGGGTTGACCACATCGATGCACTTCTGATCCAGATGGAGCCTTATCTAACATCCGCCCTCGACGACCAAGCGCGACAGCACGCCTGCAGCCGTTGCAACAACCCGGTCCTAACTGGCGATGGCGGCATGAAGTTGACAACTGCGCTCTGCAACGAGCGCACGAGCTGTTTCTGCTCCAGCCCGGAGCTACGCTTGCAGGTGCTCACTGGTTGCACAGAGCGGCCTCTGTGTGGCAGTTTGTATTGCCGTCGTCACCAAGCGCCAGGTGCTCTTGGTCCGGAAGTCCAGTCTCATCGCTTCCAGTCTGGTCAAGTGCAGTTCAAGCTTGCCGGCAGCCAAAATTTCCACTCACCCGACAGCATTCCAGCCGACCGCCTTCGACAGTATGACTCTCGCGGCATCTTCGTTGCCTGCGAAAACGGCGACTCAACCAAACAGGAGGACGCCGCCGCCGTGACTGTGCAGATGGAACCAACGGATGATACGGCCGGTTGTCGCTGCGCCAAAGACGAACGCAAGCGGCTTGCTGTCCGGAAGTATGCCGGCGTCTTTGTCCTCGTGTTGCCCTGCGGCCACATCGTTCACGTGTCTCACCTCGTCGGGTCCGAGAGCTTGCCGCAAGTCGCGCTGGCCTTCGCAGAAGGCATGCGACTTGTGCCATCGAAAACTTTCCTCTGCTACGACTTCGCTTGTGGCTTGGCGCGTTTTCTGCGGAACCCCGTTCGTGCAGAGTCCACAGACGTGCTGCGACGACTTGCTGCTTGCACCTTTGTCGTTCCGGATTCACATATTCGTAATCACACTGCCTGCGTGGACCCGTCCAACGCGACCTACTACATGCCCGAGGTCAAGAAAGCTGCTCACCCAGAACTCGCTGGCGTCAACTGCGAGGCGCAGGAGCAAGTCTTTTCCTGGGTGCGCTGGCTTACACACTCTGCAAATCCTATGACGCCGGCTAAGCACCGTGCCTACTTCAAGATCCTCGTTCTGCGCCGCAACGCACGCCGCTGCTGGACGCGTACTGAGCCTCGAGCACGTCTGCGTCCTTCTCGTCCTGGCTACTGGCGTGGGGCACGCCGTGTTGGCCAGCGGCCCAGCAGTTCGTGCCTTGCAGAGTTCCAAGCCGCCGATCCAGCCAGCGCTGTGGAACACCCGGCGCAGGCGGCTGCCGGCGTAATGCGTGTTACATATAGAGCCCACTGTGAGTGACGTCGGTCGTTACCAGGTGGACCCATGTCCCGCTCTACACCAAGGGCCGCCGCTTCTGCCGCTGCAGCCTCTCATCAGCAGAAGCACTTTTTCAGGCGTGCGTGCGCTGGATCCGTGCATGCTTCACTTGCTTGAGGCCCATGACGCCTCTACAGCCCAGCCGCCACTTGGTGAATCTTCGCGACGGCAAACTTCATCGACTGCTCGACTGCGGCACTCTTGGCTGCGCCTCGCGCTTGCCTGCGAGATCCGTCTGCATTCGCCAAGCTGATCATCGCCTCGTCCGCAAGTTCTGCCTCAAGAACGGCTGCTTCTAAGCAAGTAGCCCCAGCACAGCCGTGGCGCCACAGGGTCCGCGTCCCACAAGTGGAGCAAGGATTCTGTCCGGCGTTCCTGTCGTGCCCTCATTCACAGTAATTCATGCTACCGCTGCCGCCTGCCGCCTGCCGGCCACCTGCGGTGTCCCAACAGTGC